CACCATAAATTGATCTTGCTTCACACTATCTTGATGAAGATAGTGCGAAGCTTTTGAGATTGATATTTGTCCTCCATTGATGAAGCTTTTGTTTGGCACCATAAAATGATTTTTTGCTTCACACTATCTTGATGAAGATAGTGCGAAGCTTTTGAGATTGATATTTGTCCTCCATTGATGAAGCTTTTGTTGGCACCATAAATTGATTTTGCTTCACATTATCTTGATAAAGATAGTGTGAAGCCTTTGAGATTGATATTTGTCCTCCATTGATGAAGCTTTGTTGAATTTCCCAATTTCCAATTTCCTCTTTTTTTTTTTTTTTTTTGGGGAAAACTAGAAATTTGAAAATGTGGGAGAGACAACGTATACAAATTTTGCTTCCACACTGTTGAGCGAGAGATTGTGATGCAAGCCACATCTTGTAGTAGTCGAAGGTTTGGATGAACCATATAAATTGAATTTGCTTCGAACAGTCTTGATCAAGAGCGTGTGAAGCTTTCTATGAGTTGTACTGTTTGCATTGTTACAGAGGAGAAATGGCTGAAGCAGATGCAAGAAGGCTGAAGAGCTTGATCTTCGTATACCATGCACTGAAGCCATTGTTGACTTGCAATAAGACTTTGTTGGTGACTATAGCTCTTGTTGGGCATAAGTGCTCACCTAGTTGAGTTGTAAAGCTTGAGGGTTTTTTATTATTTGTGAATGCTAGGAGTTCACATGTACAAGTTGTACCACTCGTCTTCTGGTTAGTGGAATGAATGGTGGGTTGCTTTCATCACTTGGTTGGTGGTACGAATATGAATTCCTTAATCACCTTTCATCACATTTCATCACCTGGTTGGTGACATGAAGGAGAGTACGCGTTGTACATTTCATCACTTGGTTGGTGGCATGAAGGAGAGTACGCGTTGTACATTTCATCACCTGGTTGGTGGCATGAAGATGAGTTCCTTCTTCACCTGATTGGTGATAAGGGTGGCAAGTTTCCAAATAATATTAGAGTACGGGTTTACATTTCATCACCTAGTTGGTGGCACAAAGGTGAGTTCCTTCATCACCTAGTTGGTGAGAATAAGGGCAAGGTGTCGAGGTACATTGTGGCAAATGTCGAATGACACAAAGTGTGTTGAACCCTTTCGAAGCACAGTTGGCTTATGTATGGATGTGTTGGAATGTATGATGTTTATGTATGAATGTGTTGGAATGTATGATGTAGCTCCTTTGTATAGTCTTGTTGACACATACTTAGATTTTGTTTTGTATTGGAAACATTTACGTTGAAGCTTCAACACTTGAGTGTTTCATTGCTCAGAATGTAAAAGAGTTTAGGGCCGAGTTGGCTAAATCACCTCTTTATTGAATTCATACCAAATGGTCTTTGTTACAGAGGATGCCGAACGGCTGTAGCTTAACACTTGTACAATGTGAGTCTATTTGTAATAGTACTTCAAGTGGTTAGTATTCCATGGATGGCCAAGAGTCTTGCCGTCGGAGCTTCTAAGCTTGTAGGAGCCAGGGCAGCTGATGCCGACGACCTCAAACGGTCCATCCCCGTTAGGACTGAGTGTTCCTTCACTCGGGACTCTATCACAGAGTAATCTTTTCTTCAGTACCCAGTCTCCCACTTTGAAAGAGCGAGGTTTGACCCTTGAGTCGTAGTAGTTGGAGATGCGCTGCTTGTAGGTGACATTCCTCAGGTGAGCCTGATTTCTGTGTTCCTCGACTAGATCCAGGTTGAGGGTGAGTTGTTTGTCGTTTTCACTCTGCATGTAGTTCTGAATTCGGTATGTTGCTTGCTCAAGCTCAACCGGGATAACTGCTTCTGTACCAAAAGCAAGTGAGAATGAAGTTTCTCCTGTGGAAGTTCGATATGAAGTGCGGTATGACCAAAGAACTTGGGGTATGAATTCTGGCCAACAACCTTTAGCTTTGTCCAAGCTAGTTTTCAGAGTGCGCTTGATTATTTTGTTAACGACCTCGACTTGTCCATTAGATTGGGGATGGGCTGGAGAGGCAAAACATAAGTTGATGTTGAACTTAGAGCAGAACATCATGAAGTTCTTGTTGTCGAATTGCTGCCCATTGTCCGTGACTATCGCATTGGGAATGCCGAATCTGCAGAGGATGTTCTTCCATACGAAGTCTTCTATTTTTGCCTCAGTAATGGTTGCCAAGGGTTCTACTTCAGCCCACTTTGTGAAGTAGTCAACTGCAACGATTGCATAGCGTACCTTGCCCTTCCCTGCAGGCATTTTGCCGATCAAATCAAGTCCCCATTGGGCAAAGGGCCAAGAGCTGATCATAGGAGTGAGCGGCTCGGGAGGGGAATTAGGGATAGTTGCGTAGCGTTGACACTTATCACATGAGCGAGATATTCTGATGGCATCTTGGTGGAGTGTTGGCCAATAGTATCCTTGGCGAAAAGTCTTGTATGCTAGGGATCGAGACCCAGCATGATCTCCGTAGACTCCTTCATGTATTTCCCGAAGGACAATTTCCGCCTCCGCAGGTGTAAGGCATCTTAGGTAGGGCAAGGTAAAACCGCGCTTGTAGAGTTGGTCATTAATGATCACGTAGCGAGCAGACTTGTATCGAATCTGCTTAGCTTGGACTTTGTCATTTGGGAGGGTGCCATGGGCAAGGAATTTATAAATTGGGGTGATCCAACTATCTCATTGTTGTAAATTGCACACTTCCGCGACCATGGTGCTTGGTGCTGCCAACAATTCGACATGAATTTTTCTCCCAATCTTGTCTTCCACTGCCAAGGCAAGGCGGGCCAAAGCGTCTGCATAACTGTTTTCCGCTCAAGGAACTTAGGTGATCTGGTAGTGGAAGTGCTTGAGCAAAAGTCGTGCTTGCGCAAGATATGCTGCCATGGAGCTATCCTTAGCATCAAAGTTGTTTGTGACTTGGTTGACCACTAATTGGGAGTCACTGAAGATATTAATTCGTTTAACCCCAAGATGCTTGGCCAAACGTAAGCCTGCTAGAAGGGCTTCGTATTCGGCCTCGTTGTTCGATGCCTTGAATTTGAAACGAAGAGCGTATTCTATCGCCACTTTGTCAGGGGTAGTGAGGACTAATCCTGCTCCGCAGCCTTGTTGGTTAGATGAGCCATCAACATACAGACTCCATGCTCGGGTTGTTGGTTCTATCTTCTGAGCTTCCGATGGTAATGAAGCTACTGCTTCAGGTGTAGAAGCAATGTCAACAGGATATGTGAAGTCGGCGATGAAATCTGCTACTGCTTGACCTTTTTCGGCTGGTTTTGGTTGGTAGGAGATGTCAAACTCACCCAATGCTATTGCCCATTTGATCATTCGCCCAGACGTGTCAGGACTCTGGAGTATCTGTCGAAGAGGGTGATTAGTAAGCACAATGATGGCGTGTGCTTGGAAATAAGGGCGAAGTTTTCAAGCAGACATGACCAATGCTAGAGCTAATTTCTCAATGTTGGAGTATCGTGTCTCCGCATCTTGTAGGGCCTTGCTAGCATAGTAAACGGGCCGTTCGATAAGAACAGAACTGACTGCTGAAGCCGAAACCGATAGATAGATAATGAGAGTGTCACCAACTTCTAGTTTGGAGAGCAGAGGGGCTTTACTCATGTACTCTTTGAGGTTCCTGAATGCCTTGGCACATTCCTCCGTCCATGTAATGTACTTCTTATTTCCCTTGAGTGCTTTGAAGAAAGGAGCACATCTGTCTGTGGCCTTAGAGATGAATCTGGTTAAGGCTGCCACCTTGCCAGTAAGGCTTTGGATGTCTTTTGAAGTTACTGGCTCTTTCATGTCGAGGATTGCTTTGATCTTTTCGGGGTTAGCTTCAATGCCTCGTTGGCTAATCATGAAGCCTAAGAATTTGCCAGAGCCCACGCCGAAGGCACATTTGTTGGGGTTCACCCTCATTCGATACCTCTTTAGAATGGTGAAAGTTTCAGATAGGTTGGTGATGTGTTGGTCAGCATGTTTGCTCTTGACTAACATATCATCAACGTAAACTTCCATGCTCTTCCCAATCTGTTCGGCGAACATTGAATTGACCAGTCTCTGATAAGTTGCTCCTGCATTCTTTAGATCGAAGGGCATGACTTTGTAGCAATATGGTCCCCTGTCAGTAGTGAAGGCTGTGTGTTCTTGGTCTGAGGGGTTCATGAGGATTTGGTTGTATCCTGAATAAGCGTCCATGAAGCTCAAGAGCTCACACCCGATTGTCATCTTGAAAAAATAGGAAACAAGGAACAAGTTTACAATCTTCCTACTTCCTACCAGCCACGCATCGATTGTCATCTTGAAGTCATCAAGTTTGTTTATGAATTGATATGACATATCCATTTTTGAATACTGAGAGTGACTCTTGTGAGAGCTTTAGTGAGTTGAAGCACCAAGTCCAATTATTGAGCAATTAATGTTACGTCACGTGTAGCGTCTAAAAGTTTCATACAGGTTGGTACAGAAAAATAGTGACCGGGCCTCGTTGTCTTTTACATTGCAGACAGTGGTAGCAAATTACAAGGCAAATACCTTTTGTTCTTTTTTTTTGCAAGTACAAGCAAACAAACACTTCAAAAAGCAGCAAAAGCATGCACTCAAAAAATCTCAAGCTGCAGGAATATGCTGGTGATGAACGATGTGTGTTGTAATTAGTTACACGATTCTACATTCACGTTCGTACAAATGTGCTTTTGAATATTATACTATAGCTAGAGAATTTTATGCCATAGAAAATTGACTTCCCTTGTCAGGCAGAAATGTTAGCTCTTTCAGTAATATAGATGCATATATATTTTTCAGAGGTTAGACTGGTAGCTAATATATGACTCCAGAAAAACTGTTGAAATGTTTTAAACCTGTCACTTTTTGCTTCTGTGGATACCAGACATGCACGTCACTGGCCTTGATTTAGTTACTTCGGGGTATCCATATATAGCTTTAATGGTATGGCAAACACTCTCTATTTATATACAGCCCGGTGGCTTTCTGGAAGCGTTGAAGTGGCTAGCAGGCAGGAGATAAGCTCCAGGATAGCTGCTAGCAGATAAGAGATGGAGGGATATAACGTTAACTTGAGTGTGATGAGAAAAGGTGCCTGGACTCGAGAGGAAGATGATCTTCTCAGGCAGTGCATTGAGATTCTTGGAGAAGGAAAGTGGCACCAAGTTCCATACAAAGCAGGTATATATGTTAATGTGTATATATAACTGAGAAAGATTGATATGTGTATTGCCAGGAAAGCATTTCATTAGTATATTTCATTCTAAGACCTTCTGCCAATTGGTTTCAAGTTGGATGTTATGCTTTTATAATTTATTAATGCTTTAGAACATAACGCGTCTAACAGTTATACATGGCCCACGTCGAGAGAGTTCATCCCACATCAAAAACTTCCTCATGAAAACACATTGCGGACATATTTGCAGTACATAAATGTTATAAATTATGCATTCTGTGTATATGCAGGCTTAAACAGGTGCAGGAAGAGCTGCAGACTAAGATGGTTGAACTATCTGAAGCCAAATATCAAGAGAGGAGACTTTACTGAGGATGAAGTAGATCTAATAATTAGGCTTCACAAGCTTTTAGGAAACAGGTACTAATTAATAAATAAACATCACTTTCAATTCCTATCCAAGCTGAAGGACACTACACATCGTCCTCATTATTGAACTTGTTGATACCCTTAATTAATTGAGCTTATGCTCTAAGCGACTTTTCAGTGTGCCGAGAACACAGGCACATTCGTCATATGTTATTATACAAGTTAATGGACACTTGAAAAAAGGAAAAAAAAAAAAAAAGTTTATCCACTTGTATAATAACATATGATGTAGTGTCATGTGTTTCAAGCACATTGAAAATCTCTCCATGCTTTATTATTACTTTTGTTACACAGTTTAATAAAAAAAAATTGATGTGGATAATCATGAATGGACCTAACCAAACAAAGTAAACCAAAACCAATAATAACTTACAAAAATGAACTTATAATAAGTTTACTCTTCTTTTTTTGATATTATAATATTACACCTTAAAGGAGAATAGTTGTTTTTGGGTTAAGCCAAACAATAAATCATTCGTAATAAATAAGTATCAAACTCTCTATCTTTAAAAATCGAACCTCAGATCTCATAATTACAAGTAAAAAAAAATATCAAGTGCTAGTAGCAATAAATCATGAATCTTAGGTGACCGAAAAAATTAAATCTTTTGTTGGAACCACAAAACAATGTGCACACCTAACTTTTCTACTTGGGGTTTCCTTACTCCCTTTATCCTTTCTAATTTAATTATTTGTGCGAATTGAAGGGAAGTATTATTTAAAAATATTTTTTTACTTTTTATTTTTTACTCTAACCTATGCTGAATCTAACGAGTTATGCAATGCAAACAAATTTAAACACCAACTATACCCTGTATTGCTATTTTGTCTTTAATTTAATTGGGGTAAGAATAAATCATGAATCTTAGGTGACCGAAAAAATTAAATCTTTGTCCAAAAGGGCATGAGTAAACTCAAACAACACTTCCTATGGAAGATAAGTATCTCGTGATAAGATTTTTGTCCGTAAAGTCATTTTCATGCTTTTAATCCTACTCGGCTCGACAATCTTTGTGATTTTGGTAAAAACGACAAAAACAAATATGCTGACTCCATTTCTTACTGCTGACCATCAAGTTTCTCTTTGATTATCAATGTAAATTTTCAGTTACATGAAAAAAAAATGTTTGTCGTACCAGTATATGCCGCGAGCCAAACAAAATTGGATCTTGGATGTGTATATATATATATATATATATATATATATATATATATATAAGATCTTATATATCAACTCGGGTGTAGAAACTCCCCCATTAACCCGATGGCGGCTACTCCTCAATCAATTTTTTTATTACATGTTCTGGGATGAGGGAGAGTTTGAACTCAATATGCCAGTTCAAATAACTATCTTGAAATTAATCGATTTTAGAGCCTAGATAAATTCCTTTTTTTTTTTACAATAATGTTAGTGAATTAAATTGTTTGTTGTTAGGGGGGAGAGAGTTGAGTGGAAATCGAACCTGCACCAAGGCGCATATATGCATGATTGCTTTTCACCACTACTATAAAGCGCCATCTGCTAAATTAATTCTCACCAACCTATATTGTTATCACGTTATGTATTAAATTAGTTCACTTCATTTAATTCTAAAGAAGAAAAATGTTAATGCAATCTAACATTTTTTATTTTATTTTTTGCTTTGTTCCTCTTATTTTCATCCGAAGTATCCATGATTTTTTTTTTTTTCGTGTATGTACTCAGGTGGTCGTTGATTGCTGGAAGACTTCCAGGAAGAACAGCGAATGATGTGAAAAATTATTGGAACACTCGATTACGGATCAATTCTCGCATGAAAACATTGCAAAATAATTCCCAAGAAACAAGAAAGACCATTGTGATCAGACCTCAACCCCGAAGTTTCATAAAAAGTTCAAATTACTTGAGCAGTAAAGAACCAATTATAGACCATATTCAATCAGAAGAGGATTTAAGTACGTCACCACAAACGTCGTCGTCGACAAACAATGGAAATGATTGGTGGAAGACCTTGTTAGAAGACGACGATATACTTTTGAAAGAACTGTATGTCCCAGTCTTGAGTTAGAGGAAGAACTCTTCACAAGCTTTTGGATTGATGATATGCAACAGTCGGCAAGATCATAGGTCAATCTTCCTGACGAAGGACAAATTAGAAGTGATTTCTCCTTTAACATGGACCTTTGGAATCATTTAAAGAAGAATAGCTAAAGAGATGATTCTCAATTCTTCAGTATCATTTTAGTTTGTATACTATTATTTTCCTTGCTCGTACTATTTTAGTATTGTTGTATGATTGTAAAAAAATAAATAAATAAAAGATCCCACCTTAATTATTAAACATCTGTAAAATATTGATATCTTTATTTGTAAAAATCACACCAAATAGATATAATCAGTAACTACCACTACCATTATTTCGTATACAGCTGTGGTTGAATCATATAAGCAATACAAACAACTTAAGGAATTTCTGTAGTTGTATCTTCTGCATTTCAAAGCTTCCAAAGGTCCACCACAAAAGAGAACTCACTGCCACTCTTACCTTCTCCATCAAAACTGCCACATGATCTTGTTAATTGTACCATATCTTCATCCCAAAAGTCTGTGAATGGATCTTCATCTAACCCAAGTCCAGAAAATGTTGTTTTTGTGAAGTATATTATCGGGGATCTCATCCAACAACCAGTTTAATTCTTTAATGGATGAGGGCCTCGTAATTTTTTGCTTCAATGGTTTTCTGATTGATTTTGTTTTGCAATCGCCACTTGACCTTTCAAACATAGTGAACTATTACAAAAGGTTTGTGGTCGGGATCTTATGGCGATGGGATTTCTTATCTTATGGAGTTTCTCTTTTACATTTCCCGCATGAGAAGCTATCTACTCCGTATTCGAGTGTTCAAATAGTTTTTATTTTTTATTTTTTGGTAGAAATTAGAAATTCATTGTTAGGGCAAAAGTCAATAAAGAACACGAAAAGCCGAAAGCATGGCTAATAGAAAACACAATAAACTACAACAACAATAGGAATGTTGTGGAGATCAAGGGTTCCAGACGCTGCACTGGGTGTAAAAACGTCACCTCCCAACATTCTAGGAAAATTAACTAGGAGGACAAGGCAAGCTGTCCTAGTTGAGAACATGCACCAAAGAAGATGGAGGTCTCACGATCCGAGTGCCAGCATCCTATCTCCTAAAAAAATCGTGTCGCCAACTTATCCGCCTCCAAATTTGTCGTTCTTGGGATCCAAGACCAATGATAGCCTTGAAAAAACTCTCCCAACATAAAGACCTTTGCGATAGTTGGGAAAACCTCTCAACTGCCAAGGTGAATCGAACTATTTAAAAAAGAGATTACTTCCTTTGAATCCAACTGTTGAAAACTAAATTGCTTACTAATTTCTTGTTATTAAATGATTTACCTAGTAGATTTTCTATTTTGTCATTTTGTGAAACTGTTTTCTGTTGAGATAGCTTGAGCTCATATGCCAAGTGTAGTAGGACTTAGATCAGTTTTCATTTTCAATGGCTAACATGCCTTGTAATTGCCATGTGTCATAATCACAATGGCTTATGTATTTGAATGGTGATGATAACTAATGCAAGGAATGAATGAATATATGAAAGTGGAGCATCATTCTGCAGCGATTAGAATGTTGTAGCTGTGAAACATTTTATCTGACTCTCTCTCTCTAGCTTATTTTCTTTCATTCTTCTTGCTCCCTTCGAAATCCAAGTGATCAGATCAATGGTAAATTACTAAAATCTCAACATGGAATTGCGAGCCCAGGTTCTATCTAGAATTAGGGCGTCGGATCTGTGAGTGCTGTGCTCGGTTCATCGATTCAGGTCTCAAATGGCTAGGTCTCAAATGGCTGGGTCAGGTGGTAGTGATCTTCGAGCTCTAATATTCAATGGTGACAACCATGAATTTTGGAAGATCCAAATGAGAACTTTTTTCAAATCACATGGAATTTGGGACTTAGTCAAAAAGGGTCTTGAAATTCCAAAATCGAACGGTAAGAAGGTTGAAGATGAAGCCTCATCAAATTCAGAGAAAGTTTCTCTGAGTGATAAGTTAATGAAGGATGCTAAGGTGATGGGTATCATCCAATGAGCAATTTCGGAGGATATTTTTTCCAGAATCTCGAATGAGGAGACCTCAAAGGGCGCTTGGGATATTTTACACTAGGAATTTCATGGTGATAAACAAGTGAGATCGATCAAACGACAGGGTCTAAGCCAAGATTTCGAGTACACGAGGATGAAGGATGATGAAACCTTGTCTATGTATCTCACTTGTCTTCTTGAGCTAGTGAATCAAATGAAAGGGTATGGGGAAGATTTACCCAAAGTGCGTTTGGTTTAGAAATTGCGCATAAGCTTGACCAAAGAATTTGATCCTGTTTGCTATGTGATCGAACAAACTAAGGACATTGAAACTATTAAGGTGCAAGAGGTTATTGTTGCATTCAGAAGATTTGCACAGCGCCTTGACAAGCATGCTGAAAGTAACACTGAGAGAGTTTTCAGTAGTATGAGTGTGAATCCAAAAGGGACTCAGTCAAATGCCTCTTTTGGTAACTCTAAACCAAAGAAGAATTGAAAATCGAAGGGAAAGAAATGGGACCCTAAACCTTAGAATCTTCCTAATCAAGGTGGCAAGTATGATCAAGGAGGAAAATCTGATCAGGCTAAGGGGAAATGCAAGCATTGTGATAAGCTACACTATGGTGAGTGTTGGTTTAAAGAAAATCCAAAGTGCCATGGATGCAATCGTTTTGGTCATATCATCAAGGACTGTGATCAACCAAACAGAGCTGGAAAGCTTGTAAACTTTGCAAACCAGGTAACAGAATCTACAACCATGTTTTATGCTTGTCATTCTGCTACTATTGGAAAAAAAAATATGAACATATGGTATGTAGACAGTGCATGTAGTAATCATATGACCTCTCATGAATCCTTGCTTATTGATGTTGATAAAAATGTGAAGTGTAGAGTTAAAATGGGCACTAGAGATTTAGTGCAGTCAATAGGCAAAGGTACCTTGGTTATAGAAATGAAGGGAGTGACTAGATATATTAAAGAGGTTATGATTGTACCTAGATTGGATGAGAATTTGTTGAGTGTAGGGCAGATGGTAGAGCATGGTTATTAGCTTGTGTTTGGTGATTACATGGTTGATATATATGGAGATAGACAGATGGAAGATTTGATTGCAAGTGTTCCAATGAAAGGAAACAGATGTTTTCCCCTAAGTTTGGAATATGTCAATCCTCACATGGCTAATAGAACAACTGTTGAAGAGTCATCATGGTTGTGGCATAGAAAATATGGACATCTAAACTACATCAATTTGATGCTCTAGCAAGAAAAGGAAATGGTGCAGGATTTATCTAGACTACAAGTCTATGAGCATGTTTGCTCTGGATGTGCTACATGGAAGGGTCACAGGGAACCATTTGACAAGGGAAAGACTTGGAGGGCATCACAACCTCTAGAACTTATTCACTATGATATCTATGGTCCAATGTACTCTTGGAGGCAACAGATTTTTTCTCACATTTATTGATGATCACACTAGGATGTGTTGGGTATTATTCTTGTAGCACAAGTCTCAAGTCTTCAACATTTTCAAACGGTTCAAATCCATGGTTGAGCTATGGAGTGGCTACCAAATTAAGAAACTTATAAGTGATAGGAGTGGAGAATACACATCCTTATAGTTTTGAAAGTTTTGTGAAGATATGGGGTTAGAAAGGCAATTGACTGTTGCCTACTAACTGCAGAAGCTAAGTATGTTAGTGCAGCTGAAGTAACCTCTCAGGCCATTTGGCTTAGGTTTGTGCTCAAGGACTTTGGAGAAGAGCAAGCTGCTGCAACTTCCCTATTCAATAACAATACATCAGCTATAGCCATGTCTAAGAATCCGGTGTTTCATCAAATGACCAAGCACATTGGCAGGAAGTTTCATTTCATTAGAAATGCAATTCAAGAATGAGTGGTCAATTTGATTTATCGCAAGAGTTAAGAATAGATTGCAGACATTTTTAACAAGGTTCTTCCCAAGGACAGATTCAACTATTTGAGAAGCTTTCATGGTGTGAAATCAGTTAGCAATTTAGAAGAGAGTGTTGAAAAGTAAATTGCTTACTAATTTCTTGTTAGTAAATGATTTACCTAGTAGATTTTCTATTGTCATTTTATGAAACTGTTTTGTGTTGAGATAGCTTGAGTTCATATGCCAAGTGTAGGACTTAGATCATTTTTCATTTTCAATGCTCACATGCCTTGTAATTGCCATGTGTCATAATCACAATGGCTTATGTATTTGAATGGTGATGATAACTGATGTAAGGAATGAATGAATATATGAAAGTGGAGCATCATTCTGCAACGGTTCGAATGTTGCAGCTGTGAAATATTCTTTCTGACTCTCTCTAGCTTCTTCTCTTTCATTCTTCTTGCTCCCTTCGAAATCTAAGTGATCAGATCAATGGTAAATTACTAAAATCTCAACACCAACTCTACCACAATTTGGGATAATCCCATATCCCGAGCCAAATTACATCCACCAAGCACCACTATAACCTCTCTGACTGTCACAGATGGAGCCGAAATGGGACCCTCCCTAGCCACGATGAAGCCACTAACATGATCTCTGATCACAATCCCCATGTTTCTCAGCTTCGTCGTGGCGCACCAGCTTGCATCCACGTTGACTTTCTGGAATGGGGAGATAGGAGGGACCCAAGTTGTGTCACACAGAACCAACACAACACTAGACCTTGGGGGCCATGGACCTTGGTATTTGCAACCACAAAAGTGTTCACCGCGCAAGATATAAAGTGTGTAACCATATATTGGTAAAGGGGGCTTGAGATTAAAGATTGCTGAGTAGCTAGCCTTCCAAATATGCATAAGCAAACATGATGGAGCCAATTACCAAGGGTAATGTCACTCCTAGAGATCCTATAGTTTAGGGAACCACCAAACCATATGGGCACGACCCAAGGACACAAAAGAAACATGCGTTCCATGGATTCTTCCTCCTCGTTACATATAGGGCAAATTGGAGATGGGGAGGAATGCGGTTTGTAAAGAGCCAGCTTGGTGGCCAGAGTATCCCTAAAAGTCCTCCACATAAATTTTCTAACTTTTGGAGGAGCATGCAATTTCCAATTTTTTTTTCCACCCCACGCCACCAATTTGCCAAGACGAAGAGGGTTGACCCACTCCACCATTCACCCCACAGTTTCGCTGAGCCGAGTGCACCGTGAACCTTCCCCTTTTATCCCATGGCCAAACCAGATGATTTGTACCCTGATGATCACCAATACCAGTCTCCAGAATCGCCAAATGTTCAGCCGAGGAAATGATAGGTCTGATTTCATCCAAATCCCAAGAAGAATTTTGGGAGATTAGTGACTCCACCATTTGATTTTGATTGATCAGCCCTCCCTCAAATGGGTTTGGATGCCCATCAGGAAGAGAAGGCGACCAACGGTCAACCCACAACTTGATACTTTGTCCATTCATTACCTGCCAATGGGCACCTCCTGAAATAATATCTCGACCTTTTACAAGGCTAGCCCACGCCCAAGATGCTCTGTGACCTCTCTTGGCCTCAATGAAAGATGTGGTAGGGAAATACCGAGCCTTCGAAAACGGCACCCAAAAGGACTCCGGTTCGTTAATAACCCGCCGACACTGCTTAGCAAGGAGAGCTAAATTGAAATCCTGGAAAGGTCTTAAACCTAAACCCCCCTCACACTTCGGAAGGCCCAGCTTATTCTAACCAACCCAATGAATCTTGCGTTCGTCCTCCTTTTGACGCCACCAGAACTGAGCAAGCATAGATTCCGAAATTGGGATTCGAGGTATAGCAGTGTCGGCGAGAGAAGGTTCTGCTTCCAGTCGGGGAGAGAAGGTTCTGCTTCCAGCCTTGGACCTTTACAAGGCCCTACTTTTAATATACGCTAGTGCATGACGTTTTAATCTGTCCCAATTAGACGGAATTTCGAGGTATAGGCCCGGATCATTAACCTGCCACATTCCAAGAATATCTGTCAGCTTCTTCCCCAGCCTCAAGGCGTTAGATTAATTTCTCCTCTCTTTTTTACCAACTTTGTCAGTTCGACCTCCTGCTTGCATATCTATATTCCAAACACTTGGTTCACCACACCCCTCTCATAACCACAACTTTTCTTCTACGAATAATGGTTGAATCAATAACTTGACACAATTATTTGTTTACATAAGTAAATATTGTATGATTGGTGCAAATAACTCTCGCATCCCAAATGATTGATACCAGTACCTGGGAGGATAAAACTCATAAAAATGGATCACTCTATTTTTCACGTCTTTATGAACAAAAGGATTGAAGTAGCCAGGACACCAAATCCAATTGTATACATGGGGAGAGAGAGAGAGCAATTGCAATCTACAATCTACAGACCCCTAGAACTAGGAACATCAATCCACTGCAACTGGAGTTCAATCTCCCCACACTCCACATTTCTGAGTCTGAGGATCATGTTTTGGACGAGTTTGCCGTTGGACCAGATGATGCAGCTCTCTTCAGCAAGGCAGTTTTCCCTGCTTGGTTGTACTTTTGTAATTACGGTTCCATCTGGGAGGCCTTCCAATCGCATCCTCAAGACTTGGATAAATAGTGCAATATCAAACTCTGCGTCCCCCATTTTGTCATCAAAACTAAATGTGTCTTTATCGTACACAGAAAGCGTGATCGGAAGACTTGGTTCTGTAACGGAAAGTGTCAATCTTTCATCCCATTCTGGATTCACATTCCGCTTCACCACACGAGTTTTCAGTTTCTGCATCATCAAAAAATAGGTTTCAGCTATCAAGTAAAATGAGTTTAGCCAAGTTGACTAATAGCGTGATCCACCCTCTCTGCACCAAGTCCAAATTCCCCCACCCCGCGTAGTTCTAATATGTCATCTAAAACCTAAATTTCAGAACGTATAACCAAAACCCAAAAACCCAAATGGATCGAGAAATGCATCAAAACAAGGAAAAAAAACACAAAAGTAGTTAATAAATTGAAGGAAGCTAGCCAGATGGAAATATTACCTGCTTGCCCATTTTAACAACAACATAAGGATCACTGCTTTTCATGTCTCGAACAGCAAGGTTCACTCCTCTTTGGACGTGAATTCTCAGCAGACCCATCATGTTCTCCATTCGATCAACACCAGATTTTGTTTATTTCTTTTCCACAAATTCAACTAGTACAAAAAATGGCAGGAGTAGGAAGGAATATGCAGGAGAGGAGGATGAGAAATTTTGTTTTCTTTGTATTCAAGTATTTGGAAGGAATTTTTTATGCTAAACCACTGCCTTTCTGCCTTTTATACACAGAACTGTCTGAAGAATCAAAGACTTACTATTTAGTTCTAATTTGGTGGTCGCTTCCGAAGACAATACTTTATGCTTTAGCTGCGACTAGAAGCCCGCCACCCAATATCCCTTTATTTTTCAACATGTGACGTTACAAAATCAACCCAACCAATACTAGTCACGCGCACTCTCAACAAAAAATATAAAAAAAATAAAACAATAGTCACGCAGACCTAGACTTTTCTCTCCACCCCAATAATGAAAAAACAAAAGGAAAAATACAAAACGATGAACCTTTCTAGTAAAATAAAATGTAAAGTGTAGATTTAGTTTGAATTATTATCTTAATGAGATTAAGTTTTAGATTTTTTTTTATTGGGGCAAATTAAGGCTTCAAACTTGTTAAGAATTGTTAATTTCCTCCTTTCTTACCATTTTTATTGCATAAAGTATAAACAATTTAAAGTTCTACAGTCTACAGAACTACTAGAAATGTAAATATGAACTTAGTGGTTTCTTAATCATCATATAATTATGATTACAAGGTATTACAGTTGGTGATTTTAGTTAAATTTGAAGAAATTTTTTTGGGTGACGGGAATGCACACATCAGTAGTGCAAGTAGCGTTCCTTTCCAATTCAATAACGTCATTTGCCCCACTAAGGCTAAAATAGTTTTATCTTTTATAGAATAATCAATAAATAATTTTTTTTATTTTAAAAAATAAGCCTCATTCTCGAGGCCCTTCCCCAACCTTCTAATCATGCCCCTCCAATTCCTCTTAGCCCCCCGACAACCACCATCGCCACCTGGGGTTTTGCCCCACCATGACCTCGTCCCCTTATCGTCCCACCTTTCTCCTGGTGATCAAGAACTGGCGTCTTCAAATCATGATGATGAAGCAACATGATAGAAGAAGATGATGGTGCCAAATTGAGATTTTAGTTGTGTGATGGAGGCTGGATCTTCCATGGGTGTTCGTGGTTGGCGTGACGTGGTTGTTGGGTGGAGGACAGATATTTTGGCGCAAATGCCGGTGACCCTTTGTCAAAAAATGCTTGGTTTCTAGTCTGCAATATCGAGACGGCGGAGGGAGATGGAAGAGAAAGGACACCGATGTTATATTAATTAAATATTTTTTTTTTAATTGCTTTAATGGCGGGCTTGGTGTAAACTCCAACTTAAATGCACAGATGTCAAGACTTTGTTGGTGGAACTCCAAATCAGCAAGAGTTATGGTACCTCGAAATATGGGAGGAATGATGATGTAGGTCGAAAACATCCTTTGATATATGAGGCTTTGGGTCTTTTCATCTAGAATAAACTTTTCTACGACCATTGAATAAGTTTATAATTTGGAAACGAAAATCAAAACCAACGTTGAAACTTGAAATCATCCGTTGCTTTAGCTGCAAGCATTACAAGACTATGTACGGTTAATCGGAGGATAACATGCAATGATATTATAAGTCATTTAATATTAATGTGTAATGATATTTTTATTCACTTGTGAATATGAAATTTAGGTTTGCCTTCCGTGAATCTTGAATTCAATACCATTTCATTATAGAATTAAATTGAAATAAATAACTCACCATATCAAAAATATGTGATACAAAAAAAAAGAAAAAAAAAAGAATTATGTCCAATCTAAAGGTCGGATATTCACACACAAATCACATGCGAAAACATAAGATTTTATTATTCAGCAATAATGCTTATGTCCAGTACAGTGAGGTGGGCTGCTTTTCTTTTTTCTTTCTCAATTTTTTTTAGAAATGGGAATGGAAACTATTTCTTTGTGTAGATTCCGAAGTTGTTCCAAACAATAAGATATGAATTATTAAATCATTCCATACCAAAACAGATTAGGAAAGGAATACAACTCCCATTATCATTCTAATATTATAGTCATGCAGATGATTAAATTTATTTTGAAGGACTTGGTTGGTATTTGCTCGTATGCTTCTAGTAGTTTTATCAAATTATGACTCTTATGTGCTATTTTGCAATTATTATTCGTTTTTTTTTTTTTTTTTTTGCGCGGTTGAACTGTTCAAGACTGAAGTGTCTCCAAATTCACCCGTTCATTTACAAATACTTCTTGGTTAGATACGGTAGGTTCTATGATAGCTTGATCCCAATTGGTAGTGGTTGTCGAGATTAAGATTTGTAATTTAACTGAAGTTTTTAGTTGCTTGAATATAGATTATGCTAAATTTTGATAATCGAGCATATAACAGTAGTTGCAATGCGGATAAGATTGTTGACCAACCATTGTGTTGGTCATTTTTAGGTTTTTTGGTTTGAATTTTAAGATAGAATTTAAATAAAATTGACTATTTATACTATTTATTACCACATATTATACTTTTATCCTTATTTGTACCATTTTTTTTTTCATAAAGTTAGAGTTCACTATGTGATTCTCATCTCTATTAGACTGATAGTACAAATATATAGTAAGTGTATCGTTTTTAAAGAGATAATTTATGCACTCGTTTGCTCATTCTAAAAATATCTTTTTTATTTTACTTTTTTGTTTCTTGAATTTTCATTTGATTTGTGAATATTAAAAAAAATGGGTACAAAAATTACTTTCTAATTTATTAATTTAAGCGACAAATGTTTTTTTTTTCCTCAAAATCTAAATAAAAGAAGATGTTAGCAAGGAAGATGTGGGGTAGTTTTTGTCTCCACACATCGCATGTTGACATGTTGTTTGTTACAATTCATTCTAGAATTGTGAAAAAACAATGGGCTTCGAGAAAGACAAACAAGGAATCTTGGGGTCTTATGACTGCTTATTTTTAGGGCTTATTTTTAGGGAGTATGATTTTCTCATTTTCTATTATTATCTTTCCTTCCTTCCTTTTACATATTATTTTTTGTCTTATTATTTTTGTAAAAAAATTAATATAAAATGTTGACGTGATTAAACCATAACGTTCAAATAGGAGGGGAAAGAAGGGAAGAGAGATTGGGAGGGGAGAAAATCCTCCTCCTATTTTTAGATATGCCTTCTAAAACTTAATTTAATCTCATTTTATTCATTGTAACTCAAAAGCTGTCATTTTACTCTTGAAATTCAAAGTTTGTTTCATTTTTTTCCCTCTAAAACTCGATCTTGACTCCATTGTGCCCCATAAAACTTGAAAGGTGTCTTTATAAAACTCAAAATTCACTCTACATTGTCTCAGGTCTATTAATTTTTTATGTGGGTTTGATTTGAGTGCGCCAGGCTAATCAATTTATTTTTCATTTTTTTTCATCTCTTCAATTTCTTTCAAACTTCATATTCTCTTATTGTTGAATGTTAACAAATAACAGATATTTATAATCAAATTTATTGCACATGTGTTATAGTTTTGTTGGACGTTAGGTCCCACATATGTTTTAGGAGACAACCTATAAGTTTCAAAGAGAAGAGAGAGTTCACAAGTCAAAATGTAACGAATTTTGAGTTTTATGGAGTAAAGTGATGACTTTTAAGTTACAATGCGTAAAGTGAGATCAAAATAATATTTCAAGAAGCACAGCTAAAAATAAATCTTACTTAACGGAACTGTTTTACTGAATAAATAATTGAATAGTTGTTTAACTAGTGTCATTGTTAGTGTGCTTTTTTCTTATCAGTCTCTTTCGACATTATCTATATAGCAATATAAATATGTATTTCAAATGTCTTTTTCATTTGGTAAACCATCTGTACATAAACTTCTAGTCTATGTCACTACGACATAATTGCCCATTTACGACGTGCAAAATACGTCGTGAAGTAGCATTTAAGACGTATAGCCTCAATATGAGTCCGCGTCGTAAATAATCTCAATTATGACGTGCACGTTAAGTTGTGAGTGATGAAAAGAAATACGCCATAAACTATTTTAAGGCATCTAGTGGACTATGTAATACATTTTTTTACGATGTTCGCTGAACGTTGTAAAATAGTATTCATGTAGAATTGAATGTACAAAGTTTTTTTTAATAAAATGTTAAATTCATATTAAGGAATTGGAGAATAAATAATTTCAAATACACCATGCATAAGTCTTAAATCTTAAACTTTTCACTTATAAATGCAGAATAATACCATCAGACCAAGTGTTATGGCTATGATTTTTTTTTTATATATTTTATTTTTGTCAAGTGTTATGGCTATGAATGTACAAAGTTAGATTGGGCGAAAACATTGGGGATTGAAATTGAATTGAGCTTAGACGTAAGTACGTCCAGGTTTGGGCTTGGGCTTAGACGTAAGTACGTCCAGTTTGGGCTTGTAATATCAAATATGACTGGATAGTTTTATTGTTGCTGTGCAATTCCCAATTTTCGGCACACATATTGAGAATCAATCCATGCAGTGCCATATATTCCAATGTGTCTGACGCGTTTAAAAGTGTTTTTAAAAATAAAAAAAAAGAGTTTTTAGTGAAATTAATTTTGGATTTCAAAAGCATTTTAAGTACTTTTTAAAAGAAGCACAAGATATTTGCTTCTTGCAAGAAGCACTTAAAATGTTTTCCCAAGATTCAATTGGCTTTTTATTAAGAATTGGTTTCAAAAATATTTTCATCAAAAACGCTTTCAGTCATTTTACAAACATTTCCAAACAAGCCTATAATCTATAAGGTACAAAAAAATGTCACATTGGCTAGTTTTATTATCGATTGCTATAACATATTAAAATTATTTAAAGTTGGTGTTGATATGGTTTTCTCCAAGATTCTAAAAAACGTTAGGCGCTAGTCGGGCGGCAAGTAGGGGCCTAACGACTAGGCGGCTAGGCGGGGTCTAAGCGGACGCCTAGGCGGCCTAGGCAGATTTGAATAAAATAATAATATATATCATATAAATTAGTTAATTTTATTATATAATAGATAAATAAACATCGAGTAATACGTTATTTTTGGAAAGATATACACATATAATGCAAAAGTATAATATAGTCTGATCTTCAAAAGAAAAAATAATAAAATATTATATTGTAAGAATATAAT